GGGTTTTTCAAAAATTACTGTAATATTTCTTCCCAGATAGCTTCCTTCTTATTGCTTTTAGTATCCTCCCTTTAAAATATAGCTAAACTAACATATCATTTATAGTTACACCAAAATAGCTTCAGGAGAATCAGGTCAAAAAGGAGAAAATGTAATTATATGTTCCAGAGTTTGACAGTAATGTTTTACAATTAACATTGTAAAATTAGGGACACTTGACCAGCATGGGCAATGTATCTCCACAGTACCTTTACACAGCCTTATTTGAGCTTACTTATAAAATTTTACCCCTGGGAAAGAGGTCATGATGTCATTGTTTTCCATTTAGCAACAGGAAACATTTTTAATGTAATGAGTAACATTTACTTGTAAGTTTGTCTCATTACTTTAGCGGCACTTTGAAGAGATTTTTTTTGCCAAATTGTAGACCATTTCTTCCATTTTTTAAGATGAATTCTCCTTGCCCATAAGAAACAAAGAAGTGGCAAATAATGTGTTCATGTGCAAAAACTAAATGTTGTATAATTTAACCAATATAGCTCATACTCAGTGACATAAGAGAAAAGTGTAAGTTTTGTGGGAAAAATGCTGAAACTTTTAAGATGTACTGCTTGCTATATCATCACACTGATCCCTTATGGCCCTAAAATCAACGCCAGTGATAGCAATTTTCAGAAACTGACTGATCTGCAACATGCAGCTCTGTTCCCATCACCTTTGTGGTTTTTTCATCCCACACTGCTTAGCATAGTGAGATTGATAATACACACAGATTTTGTGGGAAGCCAAACATTATTGCACATTCCTGTAAGTAGAGTGCTAAATAATACACACCACAGCAGACAGAATCTCGAAACTTTACATCTTGCTTATTAGTAAGTGCATGAAAACCTTGTGTGGGTGTGGGGTGGGGTGTTATATGATAAATGAGCTTTAGTTAATACTTCTCCACTCTACTTCAGTTGCATCTGGATGCCAGATCAAATTTGCTCAAATAAGGGCTAGAAGGGTACTGTGGTAATGCATTGCCTATGCCGGTCAAGTGTCCCTAATTTGAACCTACATTTTAAGGTGCCCTTTTGGCCCTTGTTATTCTTGCCGTCTCTGATTCTCACCATGTGTTCTGGTTCTCTTGGCTTTCCCTGTAATTGTAGCTAATGTGAATGATGCTGCCAGCAAAACTAGCAGTAAAAGAGCGTTTTCCAAGCTGCTTTCTCCACTCAAATAATTGTAGAACATACAGCTGAATAAGCACCCCACCCTTGAACAAAATACCCACAGTGCTCCATTAACTTTCATGCACAAATATTAAAATAAATACATTTTGCGAGTTGTGTATTTTCTGACCCTATAAGATTTCCAGTTTACTGAAGGTTAGCATTAGCATTGTGGTTAGAGCTAGGGTTATTTAAAGCATATCTCCTATATTTCCTGAACCTAGTGAATATTCCAATATCCCCCCTGAATGGTCCAACTTACTAACAATTAGGGTACTGGTTATTGCTTCTTGGGCATAATGGTTTGTAAAAAAAACTGACATGGAATTTGTCCCAGTAAATTCCATTGATCAAGCCCAAAAAGCACTTCATTGATCTTTTGGGATAATTCCCCCCAGCAGTGCTTTATCTGCAAACAAGCAAACAAACAGCAACTGTACATGCAAGTTACTGAAATTTCAAGATATTTCTGCTACTTTTCAGATGACAATGTTGCAGAATGCCTACACTCATTGTAGGTCCAGTTCTACATGGATTTTGCAACATAATGTGACTCTGGGGGACTATGCTGGTGCATAGGAGTTAAGTGTCACTTAAACTTATTAGCAATAGGAAGGTTCACATCATAGAAATATCCCTAGTACATGGACATAATCCTTCCGACCATTGTGACCTAGCTCTAGAAAGAGGGAGATTGATGCAGCAGAGAACATACAGTATTGTCCCACAACTCATGTTTATCTATGCAGTATGTGTATGAGAGAGAAAGTAACGCACACACCATGCAGTGCTTCTCATGTTTTCCAATGTTTTCACTGAGGGCTAAATCCTCTTCTCTAGACACATCCATGCCCCATTCTCACTAGGTTAAAGAAGTGATGGTGACTAAAACTGCTACGGCAGCAATCTCCAAAATGGGTTCATAGTTCATCTGTCAAAGAAGCACAATTTGATCCAATACAGCACATGCTAATTCAGACATAAATAAAATCTTGCTTCTTCAGAGGAACATATTAAAAGTGAGACTCTATCAGAGCATATGGTGGCCCTCCTCCCATGAAGGTAGGTGTTAATATTTTATTATTTCTGGGTCAAAATCTAGTTGTTTGCCAAGGTATTTTAAATTAGTATATTAAGCAGATTGATACGAGTTGTCAGTTTCATCCTGCATTAAGTGACTTGAAGTTGTTATACTGTATATCACAGGACGTTTCTTTAATCCTTTATGCTGCCTTGGCTTTTTAAGAAGTATGCAACAAATATTTCATATAAATAAACTTCAGGTAGCTGGGGCACATCTTCCACCCTGGATTTTAACTGAAGACAAAATTACTCTTCCACTGAAAATGGTTTGCTTTCAGGGCATGAAAACATAAGAGTTAGTGTTATCTTACACCATCAAGACACATCTGAGTTATGGTGAACCTAACAGGATTTTCAAGGTATGTAAGATATTTAAGGAATGCTTTTAATTTTTTAATTTTTTTTAGCATTACCAGCCCTTCCAATGAGTTTTCATGGCTGAGTGGGGATTTGAACTCAATGTTTCTAAGTCCTAATCTGTCACTCTATCCTTACAGTATACTGACTGTCTCAACAGTTTAAACTGCTTAAACACACACATACACTAGAAGATCAACATACAAACTGTGTTAAAATACTAAACTTATTTAAAAAAAACACTGGAGCAAAATTGCCTTCATCTGTCAGTGGAAGCTTAAAAAAATAGCTTTTGTGGGGTGGAGGCAAACAGAGTTGTAGAACTGGGATGCCTTTAGAGCAGTGGTCCCCAACTTTGGGCCTCCAGATGTTCTTGGAATACAACTCCCAGAAGCCCTCACCACCATCTCTGCTGGCCAGGATTTCTGGGAGTTGAAGTCCAAGAACATCTGGAGGCCCAAGGTTGGGGACCACTGCTTTAGAGGAAAGGGCCTCTTATATAGTATCATTGGTAGGATGCTCCACCATACCCTGAACCATCTATGGAGGGGAAAATGCTGAAGCTGAGGTTGTCCTACTTTGGGCACATCACGAGAAGGCAAGATTCTCTGGAAAAGACGATAATGCTGGGAAAGGCTGAAGGCAGCAAGAAAAGAAGAAGCCCCAAAACAAGATGGATTGAATCCCTAAAGCAGCCATTTTTAACGGGGGCTATAGACTTGAAGCAACTCTTCACACACCACCTGATAGTTTCTTATGTGACTTTTGCAATTCTGATTGAGCCTATTTCTTTCACACCGTGTCTATGGCCATAGCCAAAAAACAGTTGAGAATGGCTGCCCTAAAGAAAGCCACAGGCTAGCGTTTACAAGAGCTGAGCGGAACTGTTGAGGATAGGGCATGCTGGAGATCTCTCATTCATAGGGTCACCATAAGTCGGAGGTAATTTGATAGCACATAATAAAACAACCGTGGTTTTGAAAAGAGAGGGATGGTTTTAAAATGGAACAAAAAAGGTAGTGAAATTTGTCTTTTATTTCCCCCTCAAAAGAAGAGTATTGGTTATGGTCAACAATGGCTTGTGAGCTGAGGAGAGATGCCTGTCAAAAGGGGGGGGGCAGCCTGTTCCTTGTTCATGGGTCACTTATGTGACAAAATAATTATGACAGTCCTGAATCCATTTTGAATAATGCTCTGACTTTCTCTTTCCAGTGCTGCACTGCGGCCACTCCTCTTTCTCCTCCTGGGCTCCACTTTTCTTTTCCAATATAGCTCCTATTCTTCTTCCAGCACTCACCTTAATGGTGGTGGAAAGCAGCCCCTGGTTTTTTTTTAAAAAAATCATATGTGTATTAATTTATTTATTTTACTTATTGATTGCATTTCTGTGCCGCCTTTCTCCAGACAGTGGTGAGTGGCTCCTGCTGAGACCCCAGCCATCTCCATTAGCCTGTAGCAGCATTCTGGGAATGAAGATGGCTGCTGTGGCTGGAGCCTGGAGCAATCTGCCTGCTCAACTGAACAGTAAATCTGGAAAACAACAAGAAAGAAGGATGTTGCCTGGTGACAGGCATCAGGCGCCCCCCCCCCCACTGCCCAAGGTGGTTGCTCATGCCAAGCATCAAGAGAGTGCCTGCTCCTACCCTACCTATTATCTAGCACTGCTGTCTCCTCTGGTGATGGTCAGGGAGGCAGGGAGGCAGTGGGGGCGATGAACTTGCACCCTAGCAGAGCCACTTTAACCATCAAGTCTGTTTGCTGCTAAGTCATATTCTCTGCGAAGTTGTGCAGCTCCCCTTTAAGGTCGTCCAAGTTGGTGGCCTTCGCTACATCTTGTGATGACAAATTCCAAAGCTGACTGTCCTGTCAAATAAATACTTCTTTTGTCCCCCCAGAAACTCTCTCCATTGAGCTTCCCTGGAGAACCTCGCTCCAACTATTATGAAAGAGTGAGGAAAACATATCGTTTGGACCTCTGAAAAGATTGTTTCTCTCTCGAATGGCTCTTTCCATTGATCTATACAGCGAGGGATCTCTTCCTCCCCAAGTGAGGGACTAAAGCAGGGCCGGGCAGAAACTTGCACGGCTTTCCTGGAGGTCGTGCGGGTGGAGAAGCAACTGGTGGCCCCTGCGGGAAGAAAAGGCAGAAAAGAGGGAAGAGCCGGAGGGAACTGGAGGAACAAGGCCCGCCGTTCAGCTACAGGGGGAGACCAGGACGCGTCT